ATAATTAGGATTCTTTTAAAGAAAAATCCATGGTTAAAACTAATCTGTTTTTCACATCTTTTAATATGACATAAAAAAAAAACCTTCTAATTTATGGTAGCTGAATCATAAGGCAACTTGAAATTAAGCATATTTGATTTGGAAGTAGAAGATTAAAAAATATTTGTACAGTTAATAGTTATTTTCTCATTAGGCAACCATGGTACACAACTCTTCTAGATTTACCACATAGCATGGAAAATACCCTACTTCTAAACATCACATGTCTTGCCCAGAACCTGTAGACTACACATATATAGATAGCAATCCAAATATTATGTCAGCTAAGCCAATCCTGTCCAAGCACAAGAAAGAGCAACCCAGCTATACTTAGCTACAATTACAAAAGAAATAGTGAAATAAATTTGACCTCAAAAATAATCATATAGCCAATGAAAGTCACATAATAATCTTGCTTCTTTTCTTGCTCATTTGTAGGATTTGGGAAATTGATTTAGATGGCAGAGCTTTAAGAACCTGGTTTATATCAGTAATGTAATCTCAGCCCAGAGTTTATGATTTTCTGCTCATTTGTGGAACAGAGAGTAAATGAATGCTGTATGCCATTTCTAATTACTGTAGCTCAAATTAATTCTTGGTCTGTACAAATGGAGCTTGGAAGTATATATATGTATCGGCTATGGTTTCTGAACTCAGCACTAATCATGTTTTGGGGTAGGTTTTTCTTTGTTGCAGAGGCTGGCTTGTGTATTAAACATGCCTAAAAACATCCTGGCCTCTACGTGCTAAATGCCGGTATCAGCACTCTGTCAGTTGTGACAATCAAAAATACTTCCAGACCTTGCCAATGTCCTCTCTAGACACAGAAAAATCAACCCCAGTTGAGAATCACTGATATATATGTACACACAAAAATAATTTTTGTTTTAATAATTTGTATAAATTTGCTGGTGGGGTAGTGTCTAAACATTTGACTGCTAACCAGAAGGCTGGCAGTTCAAATTCACCAGCTGTTCCTCAGAAGGAAGGTTGGGCAATCTACTTCTGTAGAGATACTGCTGGGAAACCCAAGGAGGGGTCACTATGAGTCACAAACGTCTCGACGGCAGTGTTTGGTTTAGTTTGGTTTATAGATTTGCTGTCATTGCATTTGTAGAAATTTTTATATCAAATGAATTCCATATCTCATCTTTTAAGGTATGAAGTTTGGAGATATGGATTAAGGCACATATAGTTGAGCCAAACAACTGTAATTTCAAAACTAAATTGCTCCTTGAAAGAACAAGCTTTCTCAAAACATTTTAAATGCTTCCATTTGACTGCTGTTGTTGTTAGGTGCCATTGAGTCCATTCCTACTCATAGTGACTGTGTGTGCAACAGAACGAAACACTGCCTGGTCCTCAGCCATCCTCACAATCATTGCTGTGCTTGAGCCCATTGTTACAGCCACTGTGTCAAGTGATCTTGTTAAGGGTCTTACTCTTTTTCACGGACCCTCTACTTTACCAAGCATAATATCCTTCTCCAGGGACTCATATAAGAGGTGAAGTCTGGCCATTCTCCCTTCTGGAGACATTCCAGCTGTACTTCTACGACAGATTTGTTCACCCTTCTGGCCATCCCGGGAATATTCAGTATTCTTCACCAACACAATTCAAATGCAAATCCTGAGACCATTTTGACTAGTAATCTCAAAATAACATGTTAAAGTACTTTTTGATTTTGGATTTTGCCCTTTTATCATTCTTCCAACAAGCATTTTTGAAGCTATATTACTTGCTTTATATTACTTGCTTTATGCTGTACTGTAGACACTTTAGGTAGACAGGGGTGAACAAAACACATATTATTTCCACCCTTACAGAACGAACAGTGTAAATCAGAAGTAAATGTTAAGTATTTTTAATTTAATTAATCATTACCAAAAAAAAAAAAAAAAAAAACGAACTCACAACCATTGAGTTGATTCCAACTCATAGCGATGCCATTGGGTTTCCAAGGTAGTAATCTTTACAGAAGTAGATTGCCCCATCTTCCGTGGAGCAGCTGGTGGGTTTGAACTGTCAACCTTCTGGTTAACAGTCAAATGCCCCACCAGAGCTCCTTTTCTGATCATTAGTGTACTGATGTATCATATTAATTCACAAAAAAAATTTGAGTGCCTATCATATGCAATTCTATTTTTAATGATTATAAAATGCACTTAAGCATAATCATTACTTTCTTGGATAGTATAATCTTGAAAAAGCAATTGGAGGATAATAAAGGAGAAGAAGGGAGTAAGTTCCAAAATAGAGTCACAGGACCAATGTGGCTTCCAGCTTACCATCAACATATATCGTTCTGCTAACCTTCAGCTTTTGTGAGTGATCATCCAAAGTGCTTCCAAAGTTGAAGTTATAGTTACTTCCTGTACCATAGCTGTCTCAATTTCAAATATAATTTTGTAAAAGTCAGACTGCCTCCTCCAACTCAAGTGGAAATTTAACAGCGTACCTGAGGGTTAATAAGTGTTTGTAAGGAGACAATTTGTTTTCACTCCCCCCAGCAATCCTTTGTCACCCCTCTTTCAACCTGCCACCACACACATACAAGAGAAAATTATGCCAACATCAGCAAATGAAAAAAGGTGAAATATTGGAGCCATATGTAAATAGCTGCTCATTCCTTCAAGAGTCTTGTTCAGGTGATGTGATTTGTCTCTGTGCATACCACAAAATTACAGATGTTGCACACCAGTATTGTAGGACACTGCATTTGGATAGCTGTTTCTCAAGATAAATAAAAACTTCTATGTTACTCTAATTATGAAGTCATTGTTGCTATTGGAAATAATTTATGCTAATTTTTTTCTTGTAAACTCATATCATTCTCTGCACTCCATTGTACATGTACTAAAAATGGCATGATGTACACAAATCCAAGTAGATGTTTGGTTTATAAAACTTAAAAACCATTAACAGGGTAGAAAATATATAGATGAGAAAGAGAGCAAAGACTTTAACCTACAGTTCTTTAAAGTCATGAGCAAAATAAGAAAGTGCTATAGTTTTGCAGAAATCACTAAAAAAAGAAAATAGTATAATATGGGCCATGAATATTTTGGCCTGCTGTGTACGTTACAAGCAAGGAAAAAAGGTGAAATTTATTTTTTTCTTTTTTTCTCATATATCCAAATAAATTCTTTACCATTTATTTGGGAGCTCTGGTAGCATAGTGGCTAAGACACTTGCCTGCTAACCAGACGGCTGGCGGTTCAAACCCACCAGCCACTCCTCAGAAGGAAGGTTGGCCAATCCTACTTCCGTAGTGATACTGCCTCGGAAACCCAAGGAGGGGTCGCTATGAGTCGGGTTTGACTCGACGGCACATAACAACAACAACCATTTATTTTGTATTCTTATTATTTCAACTACAAGACTTATTAAACTTTTATTCTCCCACCATGTTGAATGAGAAGGAGCCCACAAGGAATGCTGAATGGTAGACTGATCCTTTGACAGATAACAGTCAAGAGTTTTGGTTTTAATAATATCTTGAAAAATTAACCATCCTGAACCAAAGCATTTGCTTGTGAGTAATTAGTTGGTGTGCTCAGATCCTTCCATCTTCATACATCTGTCCTAGTTTTATTTATGCAAAGTGTTTACTTCTATGTAAAAAAAAAAAAAAAAAAGTCATACAGTGAGAAAAATAATGTTTAAAAAAATTATTCAGGTAATGGTTATATTATCTTCATTGGATATTTAAATGGGTTATCATATTATGAAATTCAGCCTTATGTTATCTTTAAAATAAAGTATTTTAATTATATAATTTCAAAGATTCCATCCAACTTTAGCTTTATAATTTTGATTTTTTGAAAAAATTGTTTCATTCTCCTAGTAGTCAGTTAAGGGAGAAGAATATGGTAGACAGGAAGCATGAGGAGGGTAACATGGCTTGGCTTAGAGTTTGGCTAGCCATGTGACTCTTTGTATATGAATTGTGCTTTTAAAACGATCTAGTGTTTCTTGTATTACGCAAGTTCTTGCAATACAAAACACAGAAATAAATAGAAACCATATTCTAGAAATAAGACTTAAAATAGCTGATGGATGTTTAACTTTATTTATTTAAATTTTAACAGTGTTACATTTCACTAGCGTTTAACAGAGTTCAGTCAGTATTCCGCTCTTGTGTCAAATGCAAGATAGAAACGAAGTAGGTCAAAGGAGTAGGAAAAAGGCATGGGAAGTAGTTACTGTAATTTTAGACTTTTTTTTTATGTTAGATTTTAATATGCCCTTCAAAGATACTCAGTCAAGAAACCCATCTGTTGCAGCATTGTTCCTCCATAAGTAGATTATATTGTGACTATCAAGTCTCATTCATATTAACCTATTGTCATCTAGTTGGTTCTGACTCACAGCAACCCTAAAGCACAGGGTAAAACTGCCCCATGGGGTTTCCAAGGCTATAATCTTTATGGAAGTGGATTGCCACATCTTTCTCCTGTAAAATGACTGGTGGGTTTTGGACAGCCAACCTTTCAGTTACCAGCTAAGTACTTAACTACTGCATCACTAGGGTCTCCTTACTAATCATACATAAATTACATAAACCTGGACTGTTATTCAATATTGAGAAATATTAAATAATTTATATTAGTATTCTTATTTTTCAGTCAAATAAGTTTGTAGGTATTTAGAACAATAGGAGAAGGGATATATATGATATCTTGGAATTCATTCTTCATAGACTATTGAAAATAAAAGTTGCAGGTATTTGTAGACACATTACAGATAAACCAACTTAGAGGAAAGGAAATTGCTAATGCCATATATGCAAACTACCACAAAATGGCAGTGACAAGTAAAAATTTGTCATGGTTGAATTTAGATGCTTCAGGAAAAAGTAAACACTTTTGGTGTTAACACGGTTTACTGGGTTTATGTTTTTAAAATTTTCCCTTCCTTGAAGACTGTGTTTTCAGGTGGATTTTGTGTGTGCTTTATAGGGTGCTGTGATTACACCAACCATGGACCATCCTATGTCAATGCAGCCAGCAAACATGATGGGCCCTCTGACACAACAGATGAATCACCTTTCGTTGGGTACAACAGGAACGGTGAGTTGAAGAGTTTGTTTTGTTTTCTTGGACATCCTTAATAAGAAGCACTACCCTCTGTTTTTATTGGCATTATTGGTGAAACTGGCTCTCTACCTTTCAGCCTTGACTAACAAACCTTACAGTTTCTAGTACGAATAAGCTGCACTGTGCATGTGTGTTCATTTCCAAGGAATGTTTCTTCACGTTGACAAAGCAGAGGGTTCTGCTGTGTTGCAATTAAATTTCACGTCCCTCTTGTTCGGACAGCACAATGCAACGCATCAGATAAATATCTGTTTGTGGAGAGGTGTCTTTTTGTGTGCACATGAGACTGTTGACCTTGTGACTTAACACACTTGAGCCTGGTTTTCTTCTCCTAGCTGCTTAGCACTTCAGTTAGTATATGATTCCTAGACTATTCACAAGTGAGGGATAAACCCTGCCTATGACTGATGTGCAGGGATTTTTATTTTCTTTTAATGGTTAAATCAATAAAAAGTAATTGAGAACCTGACATATTTGAGTTTTTCAATCTTTCTTTGGGTATGTAGACATAGATGATGTCAAAAAGAAGGAAGAAAAGCTAATGTATTTGATCTTTTCTTATATTTGAAATATTTTTGACTAATCTTATTTCTCCTTAGGGAACAAAAGTAGATTGAAATATGCCTGTTCAGCCTTAATTTGATATCAATGAGGCATTTGAAACCATGAGTAAAACTCTTATGTTTTAAAACAAAACAAAATCTATTAAAAAAAGAATACTTCAAATGCTCAAGAAGACAAATGTCCAATAGAAGCTTTCATACTGCAAATGTTTTAATTACTACTATTACAAAGAACAATGGAAAACATTAATGGCCACCTCTCACATGACACCATCAGTAACAGTTTTCTTTTTTATAAATGTTAGTACAGATAATCTTGTCAGTTTTAAAGAGGTAGAAAGAAAAATAATAGATATTTTCTTCTGACCAAGGAAGCTTAAATATTGTAGAAAAAGCACTAGATTTGAATCTTGATTGAGCACTATTGTTTCTGTCTTTCCTTGGGAAAATAATATCTTTGGGCCTCGATTTCTCTCTCTCTCTAGTTGTGGTCTTGAATTTGATATTATTTGACAGCATTTTTGAATATATGACTGTTATCTTTAAGCCTAAAGATATCACAGTCACTGCCTCTGTATCTTGGGAGCTCTGGTAGCATAGTGGCTAAGGCACTTGACTGCTAACCAGATGGCTGGCGGTTCAAACCCACTAGCCACTCCTCGGAAGGAAGGTTGGGCAATCCTACTTCCGTAATGATACTGCCTCAGAAACCCAAGGAGGGGTCGCTATGAGTCAGGTCTGACTCGATGGCACATAACAACAACAACAGCCTCTGTATCTGAAGTTATTCTTCAGGATTATACTGACATCATCTCCAAATATTTTCACTTCCGTGTATTGGGAAGTTTACTTTATAGCAGTGCCTTGCTTGCCTCATAGCTGTTGTTGACTTGTAGATTTCTTGCAATCTAAGAAGTTGCTGCCATTGCCACTGATACCTCACTAATTTGCCCTAAATAGGAAAAAGTCCATATAACTTAATGAAAAGCGTTGTATTGTCTGAATAAAGAAATTTAGCTTTAACAGTAGCAAAGGACCTATCTCTAAGGTCTCAGTTGTGAGCCTGTGAAAAACAGTTGATAATCACTTACCTGTCCAAATGCTGTCTTAGGTTTCCGACCTGGATTGTTAAAAGTCATGTATAGAACTATATTTAACTTACTTCATAGTATAGCTGATTTTCATAGGGCAGATAGAGGATTATTTACAATTGTTTTGTTCATTGCTAATAAATCAGGTCCAGAGAGCAGTACTGGGAGGCCTAAACTTTCTCGTTGTCCCATTCACTTTTCCTCCATATCAGCCTTCCTCTCCTTAAAAGATCATAAACTCAGAATAATGTAATTTTACTGCATTGAATGATAGTCTGGAATCTAGTAAGTGGAAGTTCTTACAATGCAAAACGCAGAAATAAATATTTTATAAGTCCTATTTTTTGAATCAAAAGCAAAGTCGTTTTTCTTGATGGAGTTCAAGTTAGTGAAGTCATAAAAATGCAAGATGTGTATTAACTTAGAATGTGACTGAATCCTTTAGGACATTGAAAAATTATGTGAAAGACAAAGAACAGAGTCAGAATTATAATAGTTATTGATTCATTAATACGTGCTATAATTGTCTACTTGAGCATTTTCAACAAAAGGACATTTAGACAAGGCCACAATTTTTGCACAGCTGATAAGAGCCAAATAATTCAGAAATGATACATACCCACTGCCTTTCTTAGGGGGTAAAATTTTAACTATGTGATTTATTTTTAACAGTACATTTCCTTTAGCTTTGTTTTTTTTCCCCATATTTTGCCCTCTTCACATTTGTAATAAATAATGCTTAGATACATTATAAGCTTCATGTAGCATGCTACTTTGCAAAGATTTACAATTTAAGAATGCTGTAGAGAAACAGAGAGAAAACAATATTAATTGGGTCGATTCATTCAACAAAATATCATTGAGTGTGTTAGTGTCGAGAATACTGTGCACAGTGTCCTACTTTTTTGTTAAACCATCACACTTATACTTCGATATGCCTTCATAAATTCATCTATCTGAATTTCCGATTGGCATTTGGAGTAGCTATTATGCAGCTGAGGTTATTTTTTTAATAAAACTTTTCCATTTTACTGCATCTTTCAAAAGTACTTTATGAATTGCTGAGAAGGCAGCATGGTGGCATGAAAGACCAGTGGGCTCTGAAATCATACTTGGGTTCAAAGCCTGCCTCTGCCCCTTATTAGCTGTGCATGCTTAGGTGGGTTGTTTAATCTCTCCAAACTTTAATTTCCTCTTGTACAAAGTGGGTAAAATAATATTTACATTTCAGGGGTGTTGTAAGTGTTAAATGAAATTATATATAATATACCTAATACACCCACTCTTCAATTATTGACATAGTTAGGTTCCAAAGAGTAGGTTGCTATGGGAAAATCAGAATTATAGGAAAATGAACGATGACCACATCAGCTCACAAAATGAAGGATGACTACATTATTATATAACTGCCAATTTACATCATTACATAACTGCCAAACCACTGAGAATCCTGGCCTAAGTTGAAACCTTAACCATCACAGCCAACATCACTCTTACCGAGCACCGCAGCATTGATTACTGCCAGATGTACATTGTTGATGTCCAAAGTAGACAGATAGTAGATTTTTTTACTATTGTCATAAATGTGAGACATTGGATAACAAGATAGTAGATAGGTGAGGAGTAGTTGTACAGTGTGTGATACCCAGTAATGTTTATCAAGTGAGCAACCCTTACTTACCTGCTTCCAATAGCTTCTAGCTGATGGGATTTTAGTCCATATGGCCAGGTGGGATGAAGTACCCTATCACGTCTTCAGCACAATTCACTGGCCTGCTGTATTTAATTTGACAGAACATGTTTCTTTAATGTCTCTACCTCCTTAGTTCCTAATCTGCCATTTCAGGGTTGCAAGCCCAAGTTTCTGGAGGCCAGGCAAGTAACAATAAATAAATTTGGTTGAGTTTTAAAAAAAACAAACTTGGAAATAAAAATCAAATTTGCTCTATATTTACTTAACTAGTAGTCATAAATATAATCATATAAAGAAAATATATGTGATGCTAGAAATTATATTTTAAATAGGAGACATTTTTAATGAAGTAGTAAAGGCATCTCTGCCTGAGTATTAGGTGAACCATAGGGAGAGGTAGTGCCATTGCCAGCCTGGAACATGGACACCTTGTCTATTACTCCATTATTCATCTTCAACCAATTATTGCTATATAGGCATATAGATTTAGGGTGCCCTAATCTTACAACTTTTCAAGATAAGCTGAATATATATGTATTAAAATATAAAGATTCTCTAAATTTAAATGTTAGGTCTAGTTTCACCCAAGAGCTCCCAGTTTGTGGTCCCTGTGCAAAGTTTTCCTAGTTCTCTACTGACCATTCTGGCCATTTATTCTTCCTTTCATCACAGCCTTCTTCTTTTCCTTTGACTCACTCTTTCCTTAAAAACTGCTTTTCTGTTTCTTCAACTTCTCATTCAACATGGTTTCTGTACTCAATTTCATTTACTTTCACAGTTTTAACCCGTCTTCCATATTGAAATGTCCTACATTTGAGTCCTCAACACTAACCTCATCTTAGAATATTAGACGCATTTATCCAACTACTTGCAAAACATTTCCATGCAACTCTCCCTCAAAAATGTCAGTCATAGCACCCAAACTAATCGCATGATCTTCCCTGAGCTTCCTCCCCACTGACCTCCTTCCTCTGAAATGTACTTATTTCACTGTGTGCTAATCACATGACCATTCACCCAGATACCCAAACCTAGGACTCATTATAGACACTTTCCTTTTTTATCACTACCATGTGTAATTATTTTTCAAGTCCCACAAATTTTGGCTCATAGGTATTTGTCAAATCTATCTTTTTTTGCTGTATTTCTGTAGCCTCTGACCTGGATCTAGCATCATTCCTCCTCTGATTAATTGTGATAGTCTCCTAACTGGTCTCCCTGCTTCCAGTCTAAACTTGTTTCATTCTATCCTCCATAGTGTTGTTGCAGCCAATCAATCTAAAATTATCTGACCATGAATCTCCCCTACCTGGAATTTTTCAGAGCCTTTCAGGTGTCTGAACTCTCTGAAACTCTGCAGAGCAAAACGTTAAGAAGTGACAAGTCTGGGTTAAGAAAGAAACTGCTACTCCAGAAACAGATGGGTTCCAGGGACAGAGCAGAGGGAGGGATATAGTGAATAATCTAGAGTAGGCAGTGACTAGGGTAGATACAAGCTAGAGCCAGTTCAGAACTTCCCATTTATAAAGGGAGGACTTAGGCTTTACGCTGTGTCCCACTTTGCTTTTAAAATCCTTAACTAAATGAGAAAATGACTCTTTTTCATCTTCAAAAAAAAAAACATGT